TGTATCTGAGAGAGAAACGAGCAATATAGCCTAACACGTGATTTATCTCGGTTGCAGGTTTGAAGCTCCTTCCGATTTTGAACGAGCTGCGGTGAGTACAGTACGACGACCTGGATTTATGACATTAACTGATTAACACCTTAACATCGTTGAATAATAAATAATAATGAACGTTACGAAAGGGCGCTTTATTGTACCCACACCTTCTCATTTGCACTTAATGCATCGTTAATATCGCGCATGCATCGAGCGTCGCATCGTACGCAACTAGCCAGAATTATTAAACGATTGCATCGAGGATTGGTTGACTAACGAAGCAGCGATACATTCAGCCTATGCGATGTACGACAGTTGCATGCACTAATCCAATCATCGTGTTCGCATTTCCGTTCTCCCTCTCTCGTTTTCAGGTGATCACATTTCCACCTATTCTCGTTTATGCGTCCATACGTACGATGGTCGCGTCATACCGCGATATCTTTCGCTTCGCTGTCGTGCGCAAGCGAAACAAAAGTAAGACGAACTGGACGAAACTATGATTGGAACTACAATTATTTGCGTGGAATCGCGGACTCGCAGTTTTGTCCTTTCTGTTTAGCCCTCTACAGGAATAGTACGATCTGTCATTCCTCCGCGGGATGACGGACGAACAAACTATTCTTGATCGAGCAAAACCAATCGCGTGGAAGCTGCTTTAAATATCGATCGAGAAAATCACCGGTCAGGATTTACGATAAAAGGAATCGTGACCGATGCGTCCGATTTCGTCAACGTTTCCTACAAAAATTCTTGTCGATCTTTCGATTCGTTAAATCGTGTCTGTAATAAGAACGTTAGAACGATGCGTTTTAGTTCGTCTCGTTGTCTGTTCCCGTCTTTTTCGCCGAATTCCTCGTAAAATTCACCGTTCTCCTCGTAAACGAACGGCGCGCGATCCGAAACGTAGAGAAGGTGAAAATGAAGGAAAGATAGAGAACGAGGAAGACGAGGAGAAGATGGAAATCGCGTGCGAAAGCGAAAGAACGTTCGCGCAAAACGGAGAGGAGCAAGGGAAAAAAGAAGAACCGAAATACGTGGCTCGAAGGGAGAGAGAAAAGACCGAATTAACTCTCCGCGAGTATGCTCGAGCCGCGATGAGATGTAGCTATAGCTGGTACCAACGGACTCGGCTGGAACGCCGCCGCGCCGTGATACCTCTCATTCGTTTGAATATTTATACTCGTTGAATGCTCGTCGAGATCGTTCGAAATCTCATAATTCGTGGTCGTCTCGCGTTTTCTTTCGCCTTTTACATGTCGCGCACGGCCTTCGTCGAGATACACGCATTCAGTTACGCGTTCACTACGAGCGAGACAATTTAACGAACCTGTTATCGCCGTTTCGACGATACACGTACGATACATAGTGTTTAGTGCAAAGTGATATATTCGAAATTTTATCTTTTGATTCGAGACGATTCTTTGCGTTTAAAAGTTAGTCCGTCTGGATAATCGTAAATAGAGTAACTATGTCGCACCTATGTCAGCAGCGTAAAGCGTAAGATACGATAAATCGGTTGCGCCGTGTGCGTCAGCTCGCTTTGTTCCGCATAAAAAATCGGCGAAACGAAAAGAGAGTAGGAGAAATAGGATCGACTCGCGAAAGCAAGAAAACCAGAGGGAAGGAAAAATCGGTAGGATAAAGAAATAGAAATTGTAGAGAAAAGACGCTCGTGTCGAGCGAGACGAAAATAGAGCGAAGAGCTCGACGTAAGGGCTTAAAACGTACCCGGATCAGGAAGGTGACGCGATTGTTCTTGCAGGAAAAGCCACGCACCGGATCTGAGAGTGCAACTCGATGTTTTCGACGACCAACGAGAAACCGACGAGGAATTATCGAATCACGGACCACCTGGAATCGATCTTTCTTCCCACGTGGATGTCTTTTATGCGATCTTTGGACAAGTAAGAACTCGATATCGTTAGACGAAACTTCGCAGACCTTCTGTTTGCGCTTGACGTTATTAGATACGATCGATAACTTCTGTTCCGCGTCCACTTTATTTAGATCGCCGATACACCGCAAGAAATACCATTCTTGAGTATTCTGCAGCATCTGTTACGGCTGGATCCGAAAGATGCTGCCAGCGATCTAGCGTGGGATACGGCTGAGACGTTGGTTCATAGAGCTACGCTGTTGGAGAATCGAGAAGACGCTACCAAATTGTTGCGCTCACCTAGTCTTCAGGTAACGATTCGCCTTACAATTTCACTCCCATCGAATTTCCTCCTACAATGGCTCCGTTTATTTCGCTTTTATCGTTGGAAAACTAAGAAATGAACGAGTAATCCATTTTCCAGACGAATCTCTGTTGTCACTGTCGAGGTACCGATCAGACGTGTGGAGCCTCCCGAAAAGCGTCGTTATCGGTGAACAATTCGACGACGCCTCTGCCACCTTTACCGCCTCCTCCTCCGCCTCCTGTACCCGTTGATCCATCGGGTACAAGCTCGCCGACACAAAATCGCGTTTTACCACCACCTCCGCCTCCACCGCTTCTCACCGGCAACGCTACGTACGCCGATGCATCGATGGATCCACCGCCAATGC